TATAGTGGCTCGTGACTATAGCCCGTCGGTTCAGGAGAGCCATCTCGGCACAGTTCATATACCAGTCATAGTTTTCCGTCTGCACAGCTAAGGGAAGCATAGGTAAAATACGAAGACCCAAATGAAACAACAAACGATACGTCGCTCGACATGGCATCAGCTTGGCAGTGAGTCTATCGACCTTGTCCAGTGACCGTCCTATCCAGCATCGATGATGAGCGTGTTCATATTCTGTTGGTTGACTGGTGATCATACCTCAAGACCAATACAGACTGATCTTGCTCTGATATACATGATGCGATACCCAAGTAAACCTCCAGTCGCATCACTGCTGCCGACGTAGGGGTCGGCCAATCTTCTGGCCCTCTGTAGCTTTGTTGGAACCCTGCCTGGTCCCCTTCTGGATCTCACTTTCGACGATTGCCAATCGACCAAAAATGTCGGCCAGATCGTTGCGAATAGTTTCATTCCAGGTTGCTTGGCCCTGCGATGAGCGCTCAATAGACCTGCGGAGACAGTTAGCGCTTTACATTGTCACTCAAGATGGACCACAACTGACCGCATCCGGTTATCTAGTCTAGATGTTTTTAGCAGGCCAATCATGAGTATGTGCTTGATGGGATTTTACTTACTCCGTCAGGCATTCCAGAGCAACCGAATTGCCATCTCCGGAAAGCTGAGTCTGCCCGCGTGGTTCCAAGTCCCTTTGGTGTCCAAACACAGTCTTTCGCTGTCGTACAGCTTCTTGCTCACTCTCATCGGCCGAGGTGCTATTGTCCTGGTCGACAAAGTCATGTTCCTCCTGAAAGGATGAATCGTCCTCTGTGGTATCGCCTGTAGCGGATCTGGATGGACTACCAGTATCCTCAGACTCAGAAGACGACAAGGACAATGCACGTTGCAATCGGCTTCGAAAGTTGTGTCGTCGAGGAGTGTGCGAGACTTTCCGAATTCCGCCCATACTTGGGTCTGAGTTACGCTGGGGTGAGGAGTGGTCCTAGTTCTGGTTTTCTGTGATAGGAGGAGGCGCTCGGGTTTTATAGCATGTTGTATCGCGGGATCAGGATTGACTGCTTGCTCGCAATTGAGGAGGGGTTCGCAAGTGCACGCATTTTTCATTCCTACATTCTGCCCGTAGATATCTATTTCTGAATCTGCACATTTTTTAACAATGACTCACTAAGAGGCGGATCAGACAATAGAATTCAACAATGGGTGAAAAAACGGGAAATTTTCAACAAGAACGGACTCTTGTGGCCGCGTTCAACGTTGTTAATTCTCAACGATGTGCGTTGCATCAAAAATGAGGGCTCGTTTGGGTCTCATAAACACATAAAAGTCGGTTTTATCTGCCACACTTCAATCTTTTAAACTCAACAACCTACATCTACAAGTTCACTTTCTACAGTTTTCTTCACCTGTTCTGACCACTTCTGCCAACTACCCAAGCATAACCATGTCCCCACGTAACGCATGCGGCTGGCCAGAATGGGAGGAGAAAAACCTTCTTCCATGGTTGGATGCCCATCCGGAGCTGTCGTGGAAAGCTCTCTCCGACGCATATTATGAAGAATACCAGGTGCATCGAAGCGTTGAGTCTTTACGAGGGAAAAAGTACCATATTCTGCGGAAGCAGAGTGGCACTGGCGCCAAAGCTTCCCAAAAGCCAGGCAAACCAAAGCGAGCCGTTCCCGTACGACGCTCGGTGGTCGATAGCGCTTCACAGTCGAGTCTTTCAGCCAAGACGCCTGCCCAAAGGAACATCGACAAATGGTTCCAAACGATTCTAGCGGTCGACCCTAACCAGCCTGATGACAGCAAAAAGCCAACTCAAACGAACTTAATTTCAGGTACGAAAACCTTAGTCGTCTCATACTACATGCTGATCCTTTGCCACAGACCGCTTGACGCCAGCACCGCTTCCGTGCCGGCCTAAAAGAACACGGTCGTCATCCTGGAGGTGGGACTATGTGCATCGTGTCTGTGCTGCTAGGAAGCTGAGATACCGGCGAACAGAGCGTGCACTTTAGCAGCATTCATCGGCTGGATCGCTACATAGCTATGTCCAAGGAACAGTGGCCAACTACCCCTATACACTTGTCCAAGTAAATGTTACTACATCAAAGGCTGTGATCAGCAATGAAGCCTCAGCATGAGGAATATAAGCGTAGTTGTATATCGTTCCATGTATTCCGTAGAGGAAGTAGCAATCGCCCTTCTTAGGAATGACAACAATATAGAGGATATCCCAAAGTCAAAGTTAAGGAATCGAGCACGACGGTGGTGCCCTTGGAACAGGCCCGCCTACACATTTACATTCTTGCCATGCAAAACCAGGAGGATTTCATCGGAGTGTTATGTGGCCCGGGAAGTACTGCGGACAGCGTATAAGGATTCACGATACTATGAGTGTTCCCGTAGGGAGACAGGACATGGTAGCAAGGGGGCTCTAGGAGAATGGAAATACGGCATTCTTGTTGGCTCAAGGTAATACGTCTGCTTGGATTTAATAGGGTCGATGGTCGAAAGCAGGGCAATCTTTGGGGTGAAGCGTACGATTTGTTTTGACCTACACCCAAGTCAGGAGGAAATTAGTTTGACAGAGACCGTGGAATCAAGAGGGCAATTGACGATCATTAGCGGAACCGCAAATCACGACTGCTTAGTTTGGATGACCCATGGAATCGCCTGCTCGGTGAGAGAATGCGGTCGTCATGAAGGATTCAGGCCCGGGCTGCTGCCCCACTTGCTTTCTAGGTTGCTCGTGATTAAGCGCTACAGCCCAAAAGAGAAGCCCAGAGAATTGGGGCAGATTCACCACAGTCTCGACCTGCCCATGTACGGGTTATTGGAACAGACCAGCAGTGTACTAGAAAGATTCTCTCTCGCTACAGTCGTAATCAAGATGCGGAGGGTGATTGAGATAAAGTTTAGGGGCCGCAGGAGGGCCGGCCCACAACCTCAATCCATTTTCGGCAGCCAATCGGTTCCTCGGTTTTAGTGCAAAAACCGGAGATATTTTTACATAAGCTCATGTGGTGTGTCCATGATTGGCATAGTCTACAGTAGCTTGCAAAATCGCCTTGCGCTTTTACACACTCTTTTTGTTTCCCAACCCCAGTCGCCAAGTCCAAGTTAACCCGAAGCAGTTAGACTCAAAAAGACCCCGGGCTAGAACCTTTCGAACGTATGGTAAGAAACAAGACGATGACAACACGGCTGCGACCTGGGCGCCCCGCGATTTGTGTTCTTCTTCCTATTCAGCGTCTTTCCACTCCTCAACACCCACTGTTTATAGGACCAAAGATGGCTCCGAACTTATCCCCATCCAAGCGGCAGCTGATATGTGATATGATTGAGAGCAATCTAAAAACTACCGATATCGCTAATGCAGCGGACTGCAGTAAACAGTCTGTTAGATATATTCGTTCTAATCTGCGGATGTTCGGCAGTCCTAAGGCACCTCCAATCCCCTGCGGCCGACCGAAGAGTATCACACCACGTATACTTGAGGCTCTCTGCCATCACCTTTCCGAAAACCCCGGGTTATACCTCGATGAGATGGCGTGTTTCCTTCGGGAGGAATATGACGTCTGCGTGGCCAACTCTACCATCAGTCGGGCTCTGGCAACAAAAGGCTGGTCTAAGAAGACAACACGGAATCAAGCGAAGGAGCGAAATGCAGATTTACGAGACTACTATCTCCATAATCTATCGGAGTTTAAGTCATATCACCTGGTCTATGTGGATGAATCTGGATGTGACAAGCGGATAGGGTATCGGCGAACAGGTTGGGCCCCGCTTGGGGTCACCCCGATCCAAGTGGCCAAATTCCATCGTGGCCAGCGATACCAGATCTTGCCGGCATATTGTCAGGGTGGTGTACTGTTTTCTCGCGTCTTCCGGGGGTCGACTGATGCTTCTATATTTGAGGACTTCATTGGGGAGCTTCTTCATCACTGTGGCAGATGGCCGGAGCCTAAGTCAGTATTGGTGATGGATAATGCATCCTTCCACCACTCTGAGCGGATAGAACGTATGTGTCTAGAAGCGGGAGTTAAGCTGGTGTATCTTCCACCTTATTCTCCTGATCTGAATCCCATCGAGGAATTTTTTGCGGAGCTGAAAGCTTTCATTAAACGCAACTGGCAGTTGTTTGAAGATGACCCAGATGGAGATTTTGAAAAATTTCTGGAGTGGTGCATAGATGTGGTGGGCGCAAGAGAAGAGAGTGCTGAAGGCCATTTTCGCCATGCGGGTCTGACAATTGAGCATTATTGATTGACCTGTATAAATATGTAGAGCTCATATATATCTAAGTATTACTCCGGCTTCTAATTTACTCCCTTAGTAGAAATTTTTGATGTTCGATTTTTGTATATTTTTTCCAATTTGGTAACAAACCTTCAAGTCGGATGGAATTAACGCCTACTAGCATAATAATGAGGCTGTTTAGATTCACGTGGGATGCTCCCTGGTACTCGGGCCCTTTTAATGCTTAGCTAAGCTAGTCGCCCCAAACACCTCTAGTCGCCCCAACACCAGAGGTGTTTGGGGCGACTAGCTTAGCTAAGCATTAAAAGGGCCCGAGTAGTGTCTGCCTTAGCGCGTCGTCGGAGACGGCAAATTGATAATCCGGCTTCTTGTGCCCCACCTTACAGGCCTGGTTGGTTCTGCTGCTGCGGGCGCTTAGGCCGTGAACCCCATCACCCCGATGCCTTAGGCTGAAGGGCAAGGCGTCTCTGCGGTCGCATTCATTCCTCGTTACCCCTCCCTGTCCCTGATTCTGTTGAATGGCCGAGTTTACAGCCTACAGACACTTTCGAAGCCAAGCGATATAATTTTATTCCTGCATATTTGCTCTTGCATTCGTGGCGGCGGCAGCGATAGCTTATGCCAGACATTTGTTTTTCTATATGCCCATCGAGGAATTGAAACCGATCCACGTGGCGAGCATGGCGTCCGCAATATCGTTTGAATGTTCAAATTCGGGATTCCAGATGGGTGTGAACCACGGCTCGGTCACTAACCACTTCCACATGCCCAAAGAAAGAAAAGAGATAAATCCTAGGCCACGTAAGTCAACAGAAAAGCCGAACTAAGATATCAGGCTCACGCATTTTGTCCAAGGTGATCAACCTGAAGCCCACTATATTATCCCTTCTTTGGAAAACCGTCACTTTACTGGCCGTGAATTCACGCTAGATCAGCTTAAACAGAAACTATTTCTACAAGCGAATACTGGAAAACTAGCTCTATTCGGACTAGGTGGCATCGGCAAAACCCAAGTTGCTCTTCAGCTTGCCCGCTGGGTGCAAGCGCATATACCGGACTGCTCAATTTTCTGGGCTCCTGCCCTTAGTATCGAGAGTTTTGAGCAGGCTTGTTCGCAAATCGCGAAAGAGCTGCAAACTCATCAGAATCCAGACGGTGAAAGTGCGATGGAATTAGTACACCGACAGCTAAGCTCTAATAAAGCCGGAAAGTGGCTTTTCATTGTCGATAATGCCGATGACGTGGACTTGCTTTTTGATAAGCTTGATCAGTATTTCCCTGCTAGCGACAAAGGCGTTACTTTGCTCACTACTCGTTCCCGTGAGGTGGCACTATCGTTCGCAGGAAGGGATATAGTTGAGCTCCAAAATATGACAACGGAAGAAGGGATTGCTTTCCTTACTAAGATTGTAGGAGAGGACTCGCTTTGTGACCAGAGCTCCACTATACAATTACTGGAAGAGCTGAACTTCCTACCGCTAGCTATTGCACAGGCGGCTCACTATATTTGTCGAAACGATGCAACGAGCACACGATACCTCGAGCTTATGCGTAAAACCGAAAAAGACCGGATGCGTCTAGCGAGCAGGGAGTTCCACGATAGCACTCGCTATCGTAGAATGCCCAACGCGGTGACCACCACATGGCTTATCTCATTCAACCAGATTCAGGGCTCAGATCCCTCTGCTGCTGATTTGTTGGGATTTATATCTTATCTTGAGCCAAAGGCAATCCCGCGATCTATTCTCCCCACCCTCGATTCGGAAGAGGAGATGGAGTTTGCGATTGGTACGCTGTGTAGCTATGGATTTCTGACCAGGAGGGAGAATGAGAATATGTTTGACATGCATAGCCTCGTACAGTTATCAACCCGAGTGTGGATAACAGAGGCACGGAGGACAAAACAGATTATCGCAACCATAACGCAACATATAGACAAACTTTTTCCATCTGATGAATACACAAATCGTGACACATGGAGGATGTACCTACCACACGCCCTTGAGATTCTCAGGAGAGAGGAAAGTCAAGATGTAAGTGAGAAGTATAGCTTGCTTTCCAAGGTTGGGAATTGCGTTCTAGCGGATGGCCGAGCGAAAGAAGCTGTTACTTTTTTTCGGAATGTGTGTGCATGGAATGAAAGCCACTATGATGAAGAACATCCCTCTCGACTGGTATCTCAGCACGTACTCGCAGGGGCATACCAATCCAACGGGCAGATCAAGCAGGCCGTGGAGCTACTTGAGCACGTGGTCGCGGTGGGAGAGAGAACGCTCGATGAAGAACACCCTGATCGACTGGCATCTCAGCACGTACTCGCACAGGCATATGAATCCAACGGGCAGATCAAGCAGGCCGTGGATCTACTTGAGCACGTGGTCGCGGTGCGAGAGAGAACGCTCGATGAAGAACATCCCTCTCGACTGGCATCTCAGCACACTCTCGCATGGGCATACCAATCCAACGGGCAGATCAAGCAGGCCGTGGAGCTACTTGAGCACGTGGTCGCGGTGGGAGAGAGAACGCTCGATGAAGAACACCCTGATCGACTGGCATCTCAGCACGTACTCGCAGGGGCATACAAATCCAACGGGCAGATCAAGCAGGCCGTGGATCTACTTGAGCACGTGGTCGCGGTGCGAGAGAGAACGCTCGATGAAGAACATCCCTCTCGACTGGCATCTCAGCACACTCTCGCATGGGCATACAAATCCAACGGGCAGATCAAGCAGGCCGTGGAGCTACTTGAGCACGTGGTCGCGGTAGAAGAGAGGACGCTCGATGAAGAACATCCCTCTCGACTTGCATCTCAGCACGTACTCGCATGGGCATACCAATCCAACGGGCAGATCAAGCAGGCCGTGGAGCTACTTGAGCACGTGGTCGCGGTGCGAGAGAGGACGCTCGATGAAAAACATCCTGATCGACTAGCGTCTCAGCGCGCTCTCCAAGGCATCAAGCAGTCGATCAAAGTAGCAATCATGGAGAACATTTTTTCATCATCCCCACCTGATATTGGGTCTTAGTCGAACTGCTCTTCCTCGAATAAATCTGCTGAATAAAGTCTCACTACAGGAACTACCATTTTTATTTCGTTACTTATGCTTCACGGTGGCACCCATAGGCAATAAAATCGAAGTCAGTCGAGTAAGCCTGAAACGCACAATGTGACGGTTTGTGACAATACTATGTAATATACAGAGCCAAATATAGGACTAGAGCTAACTTTATGTGGTTAGGGCTGTCTTGGCATTGGGAGTTGAGACAGAAAGTGTGAATGTAAAAACGCAAGGCGATTTTGCAAGCTACTGTACAAGCTGTCTGCTAGACATACCGAACTGGTAATTGAGTTCGGCTGATGATGGGGTTGTGTCGGATTCAAAGAGAGTATAATATCTAGGAAAGCTTTATGCAGGACAGAAGTCAAAACTTCTAGAACGTTCGACAGACCTGATAGACAAGGAGCAACTTGCCACTTGACAGGAGAATTATTCTCCTGTGACAGAAACCAGGAAAGTATAACCACGGATCGGGATTTAGCCTACCATTCTGTTGCCAGAATTCCGCATGATATTCCAAATACCTCACCTGCCTGGACCGTACCTCGGCCGTACCTCCTAAGCAACAAAGTCCTTTTCCATCGGTCACTGACGGCCGTCAAGTTTGGGCTTGTGGATCGGTCTGGACCTTTGCAAATCCTTCACTTCTTCTCCGGGCCATAAATAGAACCTCCTTGAACTAGTGTCCCGTGGGTCGTCGCTGGGATCTGGATCGCAGTACCGTACCTGCGTCTGTCTAAATTCGCGCATTGTGTTTGATTGGTCCGTCGGGCGCTATTTGTATCCAGAGTCTCATCAATGTGATAGTAGCGTTGCAATCTTGCGAGGGGGTGGCGATCACGCGAACCTAGCTCGTGGGCCTGGTTGCACATTTCACATGGTTGTCCTAGGCTCAGTTTCCTATGGAAACTTTCCAATAAGCTCTGGGCTTTGTTTATGCCCTCCAAAGAAGGACAATCCTCATCCTGAGCTTGAGTATGTCAATATCTGTGCGGTAAGGGAGTAGAGATTCTAGTAAAAGCAACATTAGCTGGCTGCGAGTAGACAAGGAAGAAACAACATTCAGCGGCGCGGGGCCAAGGATGAACAGGACTGATTCGAGCGAGACCAAAGGATCCTCCAGCCAACCGCAGGCACAGTCCAGCGTTTCTGTCAGCCAGAAATTTTTCAACCTATTATTTTGGCATCTGTTGAAGCACATCAACCCTCATAAAAGAGACGGTGACCGTGGCTAAACGGGCAGATGTAGGGTGCCACCGCTTGAGCGATTTAATTGCAAACTCAACAATATGTAGGAATCACATTTTTGCGGCGTTGCTTTCTTTCAACAGTTGATGAAAGCGGTTCACCATACTTAACGCAAGATTTGAGAGAAATGGTCCCAGGTCGAAACATGAATCTGCGGGCCACAAGGTGTCCAGACACCGTTTCAACGTCGTTCGACTTGCTTCAACGCCAACCAAAGGACAGTGATCTCTCTACCCTCGGCGCAATGGTTCCATGGTAGAGACTTGACCGAAAAGTTATAAAAGGGGCCGGATTCCCAGCCCAAAAAACTCAGGACTTCGGTCCTCACACTTTGATCCTCACACTTTGATGCATCGTAGTGTCCCTCTCTTGCCTGCGGGCTTGAGAGTTTCCGTGACCACGGCTGTCGCTGCCACGAGCCCAGCGATGTAAGATGTGCTCCCTCGCTGCCATGAGCCCCGCGAGCGTAAAATGGTGCTTCGCAGGATAGGTCTGCGTGAACAACAATCCTCGCAGGGGGGTGCTGCGAAAACAAGACTACCCCGCAGGATAGGTCTGCGTGAACAACAATCCTCGCAGGGGGGTGCTGCGAAAACAAGACTACCCCGCAGGATAGGTCTGCGTCAACAATAATCCTCGCAGGGAGGTGCTGCGAAAACAAGACTACCTCGCAGGGGGCGCTGCGAAAACAAGACTACCTCGCAGGGGGGCGCTGTGATGACAAGTGAGACCCGCAGGAGACCGCTGCGTTAACAAGTTCTCTGCAGGAGACCGCTGCATTACCAAGTTCTCCGCAGGCTAGGTCCTGCGTCAACAAAGCGCCTCGCAGGGACATCTGCGACACCAAGAGTCTCCGCAGGATGGGCTCTGCGTGACCAAGTGTGCCTCGCAGGATGGGCTCTGCGTCATCAAGTGTGCTTCGCAGGATGGGCTCTGCGTCAACAAGTGTGCTTCGCAGGATGGGCTCTGCGTGACCAAGTGTGCCTCGCAGGATGGGCTCTGCGTCATCAAGTGTGCTTCGCAGGATGGGCTCTGCGTCATCAAGTGTGCTTCGCAGGATGGGCTCTGCGTCAACAAGTGTGCTTCGCAGGATGGGCTCTGCGTGACCAAGTGTGCCTCGCAGGATGGGCTCTGCGAAACCAAGTACTCCAGACCTTCCGTGACCACGGCTGTCGCTGCCACGAGCCCAGCGATGTAAGATTTGCGCTCCCTCACAGCCAATGAGCCCTGTGACTGTAAAAATGTGCTCCCTCACAGCCAATGAGCCCTGTGTATGTAAAAATGTGCTCCCTCACAGCCAATGAGCCCTGTGTATGTAAAAATGTGCTCCCTCACAGCCAATGAGCCCTGTGACTGTAAAAATGTGCTCCCTCACAGCCAATGAGCCCTGTGTATGTAAAAATGTGCTCCCTCACAGCCAATGAGCCCTGTGACTGTAAAAATGTGCTCCCTCACAGCCAATGAGCCCTGTGACTGTAAAAATGTGCTCCCTCACAGCCAATGAGCCCTGTGTATGTAAAAATGTGCTCCCTCACAGCCAATGAGCCCTGTGTATGTAAAAATGTGCTCCCTCACAGCCAATGAGCCCTGTGACTGTAAAAATGTGCTCCCTCACAGCCAATGAGCCCTGTGACTGTAAAAATGTGCTCCCTCACAGCCAATGAGCCCTGTGTATGTAAAAATGTGCTCCCTCACAGCCAATGAGCCCTGTGTATGTAAAAATGTGCTCCCTCACAGCCAATGAGCCCTGTGACTGTAAAAATGTGCTCCCTCACAGCCAATGAGCCCTGTGTATGTAAAAATGTGCTCCCTCACAGCCAATGAGCCCTGTGACTGTAAAAATGTGCTCCCTCACAGCCAATGAGCCCTGTGTATGTAAAAATGTGCTCCCTCGCTGCCCTGAGCCCCGCGAGTGTAAGAGTGTGCTCCCTCGCTGCCCTGAGCCCCGCGAGTGTAAAAGTGTGCTCCCTCGTTGCCCTGAGCCCCGCGAGTGTAAAAATGTGCTCCCTCGCTGCCCTGAGCCCCGCGAGTGTAAAAGTGTGCTCCCTCGTTGCCCTGAGCCCCGCGAGTGTAAAAGGTGCTTCGCAGGACGAGCTCTGCGTTAACAAACGTGCTTTGCAGGGGATTGCTGCGTTAACAAGCCCTCTAGCAATGTGCAGGCACCTCTTCGTGGTGTTAGAGACCAGTATTCGATATTCAACAGTATTCGAAGAAGCAAAGACCTGCCCAACCTCCTCCTCATAGTCTGTTTCTTTTTCCGAAGGATCATCATTGGATAGATAGAATGAGCCCTAGATAGATCGTCCCAAATTCAATGGCCAAAATTATACGATAACAACGAAACTGTCATTTTTATCAAAGGGGAGGTTCCCAAATGTTCTGCGCTGATAGTTTGCGGTCCGATAGTCCTTTCGTGTAGTGAAATTGACACCCTTCATTCAGGCGTAGAGCAAACATGTTGGTGAGAATTAGTGAGAGTGTTGATGTGTTGACGTGTCGATGCGTTGATGCGTTGATGTGTTGATGTGTTGATGTTGATGTCTGATGTTGATGTTTGATGTTGATGTTCGATGTTGATGTTGATGTTGATGTTTGATGTTGATGTTTGATGTTGATGTTTGATGTTGATGTTTGATGTTGATGTTTGATGTTGATGTTTGATGTTGATGTTTGATGTTGATGTGGTGAATGGTCGGGCGGTGAAGGGGGTGGCCACCGTCTCACAGAGGCAACGCGGTCTCTTGCCATGTCCCCCACATCATAGAAACTGTAATTGCTTTTTTTTTTTTTTTTGATCCTGCAAAGCAATTTCGATCCCTGTTGGTCACGCCTTGACTACGGCCTCCAACTCAATTGAGATGATCTATTCTAGATTTGTTCAACTATGATCACGCAATATACTGTACACTCAAGATCAGAACTAGGAAGTGTAGAGCCATGTGATGTATTTCGTAAATCCGAATCACGGATTCAATCCAAGATGCTTATGTGATAGGCTCAGTTTCTTGCGTCGCCAAAGAAATTGCTTGAGATGACTATTGCTAGTCACTCGAACCTATTCTACACTAGAATGCCTACATCATAGAGCGATTGCGAGAGTGAGAGTTTCTTTCTCTCGAGGTTAACATGTCATTGGTAGCTTTGGCTTGGGAATATCTGACCCGCTCCTTCTACATGTAGGAGCCGTCGCAACTTTGTGAATAATATCCCGCCAGTAAATCCAACCAATCTCTCGTAGAAGTCCACTACAGCGACGAAGAAACGGTCGTTACCTTCTGTGAGGCTTATTCCCCACTACATGCGATAAATCATGCTCCGCTGCTGATATGGCATGACTGAATTCCGATCGGGGCCCAACAAGCCATCTGGAATCAGAACCGGTAAAGGCACTCTCCACGATCAGCGCTCGGGACCTGGTGTTATTTCTACAGGAGTGTTCTCATCCACGTGTGACCCTAGCAGGCATCCGCTCAAATCCTCCCCCAAGCAAATATAACATGAGCGCTTATTAGGGTAGATATTCAGTACAGGCTGTACGGGACATTCAGAGGTCCTACAACCCGAGGGCTCTTGTGGTGCTGTTACAGACATCAAACCCACCTTCACGGTGAATTGCTCAACAGTGATATGCCAGATACCGTCTTGGGCGCGGAGAAATACATCATAGATGGTCAAAGCACAGTGAGCTCAGAGACGTAGAGGAATCGGTGATTTGCTGG